AGAATTTTATCTAAGTGGATGTGATAGTTGACCAGTAATCGTTTTACAGTTAAGACCTTATATCAAATTGAGATATTGCCTCTGTAGCAAAAAATCCTGATGTAGTTCTCCAACTGCGGAATACACTACAGGTATCTCATGCAAGAGGAAAATCAGCAATTTCTGTCGCTCTAGAACACACGGTCACTAATGGTGAAGACGAGCCTGATGCATAATTACTCTGTCTCACGAATCTTAAAACTCGAGGTAGCTGAGATATCACAGCACCAGCTGTTGGAGAACTCTCAAAGCAGTTCTTGCTTCAGGGAAAGACTAGTTTCAAGGCAAACTGGTTGCAAGGACGAAGTGTATTCTCACTTGGCATTTTTGGGTTTGTTTTGGCCACTTGATGTATATGCTGGGAAGTCTGACACAAGTACCACTCCTGCTCCGCCCTGTGATAATACTGCTCTGTACAGCGTGTAGTGATCCTTGTACCAGCCTAAAGGGGTAATCTTGTGACAAATTCTGGGCTGGCAGAATGGGGGAAAAGTTCAGGGATAAAAATACTCAGATTTTGAGGAATCTCTAGAAAAACCTTGTCTTGAACCCCCCTTTTTTTTTTAAAAAAAAAAGAAAATCACTGTAGTTTGCATGATAAAGAAAAAAACCCTTTTTCAATAATACTCGTTTATGCAGCTTCGAAAAGATGTAGCATCACCTTAGAGCCAAACGTTAAGCAGGCAATATAAATACTGTTTTTCCCCCATTTCCAAAGAACATCATCTGTCCTTATAAAGCTGTTACTCATGTATATACCTTAAGCTGGACAAAAACTTAACTTGCATTTAAGTTCAGAACTGAAAAGAATGCCAGTGCAGAGTCTCAGCTTCGTTTTTGTATTAAAAAAAAGACAGCAAGCAACAACTTCTTTCTTTGTTTATTATGGTTATTATCCAGGGTAACTGAAAAGTTGCTTAACTTTATGCTTGTAACTCTTCAGGATCCCTGTTAGCAGCGTTCATCTGCTGCAGTATTTTGACATAGATTCCATGCTGTTTGGTGGCAAGATATAATCCAGTTAGCCCCTGTATAAGTACACCCAAACTCATCTTTCTAAAGACAGGCCGAGCAGTTGTGAGCCAGTAGCGTAACAGATTTTCTTTCCCTGGCAAGGGAGATGAAGAAAACCTAAAGAATAGAAACAGTGGTAGAAACTTACTTTCTGTTTTTTCCTGTCCAGTTTAAGCATCAAGATTTAACCTTAAGGTCACTAAAAATATTTAGATAGATACTAATTCTTTCCTTCTCTCTTCAGTTAAATTTCTCCTGGTAGTACCCAGCTCTCCGGATGAAGGCTCTAAACCATCCTGAGCCTGTCCTGACGTCTCGCCAAGTCTCACCGCCCCCTTGCTGGGCTCTGACCCAATTCACACAATCACACCAGCCAGGGAATTTGGCTGCTGGGCACTGCCCGGGGTCAGGGAGGTCTCTCGGCAGTTGAGCCAAACGGCACCACGCAGTGCACCACGCAGTGACCTGCACCGCTCAGCAGGACGGCAGCCACAATGTCACAGAGCCTGGGCACATCACAGGCAGCTTGTAACGTTCCTGCTAAACTTTCAGTGTATCCATCTGCAGATCTTGTTTCGCTTCGGAAGCTTGGCATAGCTCTTACAAACTTTGCCATGACCTCAATGTAAATCCCTTTCAATGTACTAAAAGCCTCCAAGAAGAGAGGTGTGCACAAGCTTAAAAAGCCAAAGAATTTAAACTAAGAACTGAAGATCTCACCGACAAACACATTTCGCTCATATAAGGTTAATAAGACGTACCTGGCTGCAAGGCTTGCGTTCATGGGGAGAGCCAGGAAAACAGGATAGAGACCACCCACGGCAGCCCCTATTAATCCCCCTCTGACCACAGCACAGACCTCGCAGTTTAGCTCCCCTGCGTGACAAACAATATTTCACCATCAGTATCCACGTAGCTCCAACACATCAATTTAGAAGCTGAGTACAACAAGATGAAAGCAGGCGCTTGACAGAAATGGCCAAGCTGTACCGGTATGTGAGAAATTTTGAAAGGAAGACTCTTCCTTTTGAAAAAAAAATCACTCATTCCAACCCATTAATTTCTCACTCCAAAGTTGACCCTCAAATGAAATCATACAGATGGGGAAAACTGAGCTGCTTCGTTGCAGTCACTGTTATATGACTTTGAAAAGTGCTGAAAATGAATATATAAATACACCTCCGTATATCCCACTCAACTTTAAGAACTTGCCGCTGCCCAGTGCATTAAATGACCTGTTTTTCAAATCCTGCTTTACAAACTGAGATTTTTCAAGGCCACAAGAGTTCAAGGCCACTGTTCTGCGGAGAGGAAAAGCTCCTCTAGTGTTACATTGTGTACAGAATGCAAAGCCCTTTCTAGAACAAAGAATAATGATTTTTTTACCTGAAAATAAAGCCTGACGCACAAAAACTTCGTAAACTGCTACTGTTGAAAGGAATGGAATAACGGCCATCGGCACGCCGGCCACTATGGGAGCTCTTCTGACGTGCAGGATGTTCCTGAAGAAGTTATTTGCCGCTAAGCCACACAAGCTTGAATTTGCCGCAAGGAAGTACGATCCATGATTACAAAGGTTCCTGTGGAAGAAGGAAAGTCGCTTCAGCAACTGAGAACTGTAAAGAGGCTTTGTTTACTCAGCGCTACAGCTCACTCCTGTATATCCTACAATAAGAGGTAAGAGATGTGAATACTGCAGGTGCAAAACAGAGGGTAATTACTTTCAAAAGCAGCCGTTGCTATATGCCTGAGTTTAGACACACCTCCAGAATTAAGTGACAGACTAGGAAGTCTTTTCTACAGTTGTTGTTTTTTTTCAGTAGCATCGCTAATGGAAACTTCGTGAAATTTGTTCTCCCAGTCAGCACGTTTCTAAGAATAATGTTTTCTGAAAAGATTTTTTTTTTAAATAAAAATAATCACAACTAGTTCCTGTAATCACCATTGTTCCTGTTCACCCAACAGTACAGATTTAGTTTCAACCTAAGAGCTCACAGAACAGATCGGGGGGACAACTCTGGCAACGGAGACCTTGCACTAACGATTCTGGCACCTGCTGGCAGATGGTCTGCGGTGATTCCGTAGGCTGGGGGGCTGCAAGCCTTCCTTGGGGGCAGGGAACACCTGAATTTAAGGTCCTACCTCGCTAGGCGGTTGCGCTAGTTAAAGGTTTCCTACTGGGTTACAGAACTGGAGCTTCTATTTTTTCCCTTGACAGCAGAGGGACTAGATTCTTTTGTCTACCATGTTTTTCCACAAATCTCAAATTCCTGAAATGACGCCTGTGGCCAGGCAAAGCAATTAACAGGAAGGCACTCCGCTCCTGAGGCTGTGCCAATATTACTATGTTAAAAGTGCATTTTTAAAATGCGTCATAATTTGGATTTAATGCTAAAGCCCCAAAGGACATAAAATGCTTAACTGGTCACAAAATTTATGCGAGGCCAAATGTCATACTTATTTGCAATATTATCAAATGTGACCCTCTCTAAACTATTTAGCAATTAAAATACATGATTTTTTTAGAACTCTTCCACATTTTAATGCTTAGAGTAACATTAAGCACTGGCAAACCATACAAAAAAGGCTTCAGAGATGCAGGTGTTAGTTCTGCAAAACCTAAAATATTAGAAATATCTGACATCAGTGACACCAACTATTTTTCATTTTGAATAGGAAAATACTTTCATTCTTAGTACATACCAATTTTTAAACATGAAAATAAGCTACTGACAATTCAATTCAGATTCTATATAGCAAAAGAACTTGACTGGTCAGATCTCTCTTGCCCTTATCTAGGAGCCATGTTTCTGTTTTTGGCATTTTAAAAAGAAAGGAGACTATTTGCTTTTCCAGTCATCATTCTTCCAATACTGGGCATCATTTACAGAACAGATTCTGCAAACCAGCCACTTCATCCCACTGGTATGTTTAAAATCACAGGCAGTGAAATGCCTGTGTACATATATATACAAAACTAAAAATCAGCAGCGTATTTAAGAATCCAAAATAGAGCACATTAGCGTACCCAGGACCAGCAGAATCTACTCAGGCTTATTAGTCTACAGAACTGCTACAGGGCATGAAAGGAAAGAAAGGGACAATGGAAGGGTTGGGGTTTTTTTGGTTCATTGTTTTGTGGGGTTTTTGGGGGGTGGGGGTGGTTGGTTTTGGGAAGGGGTGCATGTTTGGTTTTACTTTAAAAAATATTTTCTTTATATATTTTATTTTCTTAATTCTAGCTCCCTACTGTTAAAAACAAGAACTTCAGTGAGCAGGAACTCTCAGTCTGATTGCAGGATGCTTCCTCTTCCCTTCCAGCCATTACTGACCTCCCCTCTGGCTACACAAACTGTTAAGTTCCACCAGGGTGGTTTCAAATAAAGACCCACACCCCAGCAGCTATTTCCTTCTGAGGCCCAGCAGCGGTGCCTGGGTACCACAGCTTCCATCAAGGTGTCACCACATCACCACTGAGGCATCTGCCTCCCCCTCAGCTCTTCTGGGGAGGAAGAAGTTGAACATGAGTGCAGCAGATTCTACACGAAGCTGCACCGCTAACTGAGGAGAAGAATAGAGCTTTGACGTTCCTCTTAACTGTGTAGGGAAGCCCTACACAGTTAACTGTGGGTGTTACTACCGGCAGTTTGTTTAGCCAGCAATTTAGTTCTATTAAAATAAAAAAAAAACAACAAAATAAACAAATAAAAAGCTTCCCATTACTCTTATTTATACCTAATTTATCCAAGATGATACACATGCACAAACGGCTCCTCACAGAATCAGCTCAGTTCCAGAAAAGTTTTGCGGTGAAACGCAGTCACAAAACACACCAAGGTTGCTGGTGAGGCCCAGAAGGCTTTTAGCTGCTTTCATGTGGTGCTGAGGCCCACAGGTGAGCCTGCACGACTGACTGACTCGTTCACCACCACCCAGACACCTCAGTCTTGCCTTCCTGAAACCGGGAGCAGCGCAGAACGAAATGCAGGAACTAGCAGGTTGGTGCTCACTCAGTTCTGGCCCCAGGCCAGCCCTGCGGGGCACCAGATGACTCCTGCAGAATCACAAGAGTATTTGCCTTATGCTGTCCAACAGTTTAGTTTCCTAGAAAATTTATCAGCACTAGCACAGGACTGTACGAGTGGATCAGCCATCCTAGAACCTTAAGCACTGGGGAACAAAGGCCAGAAACCAGCTGAGCCAGACCAGAGGCAACAGTGAGGTAACCATATGTAAAAAAAAGCCAAATTTTCTGTTCTGGACAACAATAAACATCTTCCCAATTAAATACTTTTATAACTGCAAGGAAGTCTTGCAATGCAAGAGTAAGGGAAAAGAGAAGCCCCTGAGTGTCTTGAAATGTTTGATGCTTTGTTTATTTTACCAGCACTTACTGATCTGCTTTAGGAAGCTCATTGAAAATCTTTTGTATGACTTCCATCCGCCTAAGTCTTTCCAAATATAGGCTTTGCTGCAGAGAATCTAGTTCAAGAAACTCTCGTCCTGTCATCCTGAAGTCCTGGATCATAAGGAAGAGACAAACAAATGTAATCAAAGTTACACAGCCCCAGAATGCATCAAATAAACATTTAGACTCCTTTGGCACTATGCAGTCACAAATGCATCTCCTGTTTTTCATAGCAGAGTTGTCAGATGCAAAGGGCACAATCCAGCAACAGAAGCCTGTGATATTTATGACTACACGAGCCCTAACAGACTCGCTGGTTTCGTGATGCTGAGGCTGTGGTGTGACAATTGCTCTGAGCAAACTTCAGTACTCACATGTGATGAAAAGGGACTGTCTCACTCTCCAGGTACTCCTGCCTGAGCACCTCCGGCCCTGGAGCCACACGGCAGCTTGGGTCAGGAAGCTCAGATGAAAACTGCTCACGGGAACAATGGGCAGCACCCTTGTTCTTTTAGGCCACATCACCCTCTAACACAACAATCCCTAAAGCCTGCGGCACAAGGTAGGGCACTAACCAGACAGTGGCTTTTGGCAATGCTTCAGGTTTAAATTGACTTAACTGTCAACAGAACCATATGGTAAAAATAAACCCACCCAAATAAATCCACACTTTGTGAAGATTTAGAGAAATCATGAAACTATCAACTCTGATTTTATATCCCACAAGTAAGGAATTTTTAAATCAGTACTCAGTCAGAGACACATCTCAAGTTAGAAAGCTTTCAGCTGTACTGGGTTTACATGGCAAAGTTTTGGTAGCAGGGGGGCTACAGGGGTGGTTTCTCTGAGAAGATGCTAAAAGCTGCCCCCACATGGGACAGAACCTGTTCCAGACAGTTCCAAGATGGACCTGCTACTGGCCAAGGCTGAGCCCATCAGCGATGGCTGTAGCGCCTCTGAGATAACATATTTAAGACGGGTTGAAAAACCTGCTGCACAACTGCAGCCAGAGAGAAGAGCAAGAATATGTGAGAGCAACAACTCTGCGGACACGAAGGAAGGACGGGGAGGAGGTGCTCCAGGCACTGGAGCTGAGATTCCAGCCCGTGGTGAAGACCATGGTGAGGCAGGCTGTCGCCCTGCAGCCCACAGAGGTGATGGGGTGTAGATGTTCACCTGCAGCCTGTGGAGAACCCCGCTCCGGAGCTGGTGGATGCCTGAAGAATGCTGTGACCCCACGGGGGACCCGCACTGGTGCAGTCTGCTCCTGAAGGACTGCACCCCATGGAAGGGCCCCACGCTGTTCATGAACAACATGAGAAAGATTCGTGCTGGAAAAGTTCACAGTGAACTTTCTCCTGTGGGACAGACGCCACACTGAAGCAGAGGAAGAATGTAGAGTCCTCCCCCAAGTAGGGGGCAGAAGGAGCAGCAGAGACAACGTGTGACAACCTGACCACAACCCCCGTTCCCCTCTTCCTTGCACCACTTGTGGGGAGGAGGTAATGAAAACTGGGAGTGACGTTAAGGCTAGGAAGAAAGGATAGGGGAAGGTGTTTTAAGTTTTGGTCTTACTTCTCATTATCCTACTCTGATTTGATTGGCAATAAATTATATTAATTTCACCCCAGTCCAGTCTGTTTCACCCATGATGGTAATTGGTGAGTGACCTCCCCGTCCTGATTAAAAGCTCATGGTCAGGATATCTTCCTGTTGATGGAGGGAGAACAGCTTGGTGGGCACCTGGCAGCCAACTGAGGTCAACCCACCACAAACAGCTTTTGCTTAAACCTGGTATTTAGTGATTTAAGTATGTTTGGGTTTTTTTTCCCCCAAAGGAGTTTCCCAGATTCACTTTGCTGTAATACTCACCTTAAGTTTCTTTTACAATTTGAAGGCTGCGTCCCAAGGCCTATCGGGTCGGGCTCTGCTTGCAGGGACGGGCAGGCAGGGCCTCACCGGGGATCAGCGGGGCCGGTGCCAGCCTTGAGGCCTCTCGCTCCTGCCCGGTCCGAGGGGAAGGTCTCCCACCCTGCTCTTTAGGTAAATCACAGGCGTCACCTCACCGAGCTGTAAGTACCGACGGCGTATGCACGACCCCG